GTAAATTAACACCAACATAGTTGGACACAGACAAGTAAAAATATACTCAACAAGGAAGGCGATATCAGCTCAATAAATCATATCATTTCTGATGCACAATTCCAGCCATCTCAAACTCGATGTCTCATATCATAACCTCAACTACCAAACCTTTAGCACACCCGGCACATTGTGCCTTCATATTTCTATCTCTCTTTGCACAACAACGTTCTCATGTTACTCAGTACATAAGGTCCATAACCAATGCAATTAAGATGTTCAAAGAGTCTCATTTATATAACATAAAGTAGCGCACGGCTTCTAAACCAATTAGGAACTCGCAAGAAAAGATGAAGTTATTTTTAGAAATCATTTGAGTAAAGAAAGTACTATTTTCAATTAAAATACAACATCGAATGAATTATTACCTCAAACATGGGATTTAATAATTTAACTTAGTAGAAATTCTTTTTATTAAGTAAAATACAACCTCAGACGGTTTAAGAAAATTTAATCGGGTAACTAATTGAATTAATAATGAATAATTATTGAAACTTGAAGTATTGAATTATGTATATAAATACGGCAAAGTATTGAAACACTATAGGGTTCCATCACAAAGGATCACAGCAGTAAAGGAATCTAAACAGTTAAAACACTTGAATTGATAACCATAAATCAACACAACAAACAGAAAGTGCACGGCATTACTCTTCGTGATTTATCACTCTTCCTCACCATATGCATAAATAGAAATGTACACGGCATCACCCTTCGTGCTTTAACTCTCTCATAATTATGGCACAACATCACCCTTCGTGCTTTTACTCTCAATATTGGCATGGTATCACCCTTTGTGCTTTTACTCTCAATAATGTGGCACGGCATCACTCTTCATGCTTTTACACTCACAATATCGGCACGGCATCACCCTTCGTGCTTTACACTCTTCCTCACAATATCATGCACTGCATCACCTTTCGTGCTTTACACTCTTCCTCACCCAAACAATAGAAACAACGATATTCCGGCAAGGGAATCAACAACAAAAATAATAACATCCCAGCAAGGGAATCAACAACAGAAATAATAACATCCCGGCAAGGGAATCAAGAATAGAACAATAACATCCCGGCAAGGGAATCAACAACAAAAATAATAACATCCCAGCAAGGGAATCAACAACAGAAATAATAACATCCCGGCAAGGGAATCAAGAATAGAACAATAACATCCCGGCAAGGGAATCAACAACAACCAATCTTGTTTCAACAGTTAGTTTCACAGTATAGATTTCAACTTGAATCAATACTCAACAATGGTCAATTACCATGAGAATATCATCAGTCTTATTCAACATGATTTATCGTCAATTTAAGCATGAATAGTACATAACAAGGATCACGGAAAAACCAAGAGAACACAATAACGTTAACAAAAACAACAAGACATAATAAGCACGTAATAACTATACTGGTAACCACAACAATTGGACATGTAGTATATTTGCACGAAGACATAGAGGAATTCACAATCAAGAAGTATCAAAACAATAAGGAAGACAATCTCTTCAATTAAATAAGGGTCAAGTAACAAGTAAGAATTAAGGGAAAGCTAACAACATCATTTGGAGCATATAGAGGTAATTTAAGCAATTAGGAGACTCAATCATAACGGAGTACTTTCCACATAATGAACATAAGGACCTAAGAACCCTAAAGGCAAATTTCCCACAAATAAGTCCGAGCACACACTCGTCACCTCGCGTGCACGGACTACAATTAGCACAGAAGACTCAAATCCTAAAGGGAAGTCCCCCACACAAGGTTAGGCAAGATACTTATTTCAATCCGGCCAATTCAATACTCAATTTAGCTTTTCTTTTACCAATTCATCAACTTTCGGCTCAATCTAGCCAAAAACAACTTGAATACATCTAACAATGCAAGAGAAAATAATTCCAAATTAACAAAACTATGATTCTTATACAATTTACAATAAAAGTCAATTCCCTGGGCCCGCACCTCGGAACCCGATAAAATTTACAAAAATCGAATACCCATTCCGATACGAGTTCACCCATACAAAAATAATCCAATTCCGATATCATTTGGTCCTTCAAATCATCATTTTACATTTTTGAAAGATTTCACAATTTTTCCCAAATTTCATCCCAAATCACGAATTAAATGATGAATTCAATGATAGATTCATGTATTTAGCCAAATCCGAGTTAGAATCACTTACCCTGATGAACTTCTCCAAAAACCTTCGAAAAATCGCCAAGATCCAAGCTCTCTAGGTAACAATATGAAATAAAACCCAAAATCTCGTATTTATAGTGCCCCTCTCGGATTCCATTCACTGATGACGGCGGTAAAACTACCGTTGCCGCGGTAAAACCACCGCTGACCGCGCTTCTGGTGGCTCCACAGACAAGCCTTAGTATTTTGGTCATAACTTTCTTTACAGATGTCCAAATTATGATTTATTTACCTTTATGGAAACTAGACACAAAGGGGTACAACTTTTGTTTTTGAATCATTTCACAATTCCTTGTAGATCAAAAGATATAAGCTTCCGAAGTCAGACCAACGAACCTGCGGATTCTTCATGACAGTGGTCGCGGACCGTTTTTCGCTACAGCGAAAATTCCACTGCTGCAGCGAAATATCACCGCTGACAGCCATCCTTTTGGCTGCTGGGGTGATGATTTANTCCGAGGCATCTGGAACCTCAACCAAATGTACCAACACATCCCATAACATTATACGAACTTCGCCCCACTCTCAAATCACTTCAAACAACGCTAAAACCACGAATCACATGCCCAAACATGAAAATCACTATGAACTTCAAGAACCTCTAGAATTGCAACCAAGCGTCTGAACCATATCAAATCAACTCCAAACGACACCAAATTTTGCAGGCAAGTCCCAAATGACATAACGGAGTTGTTCCAACTTTCGAGATCGCATTCCGACCTTGATAACACAAAAATCAACTATGGGTCAAACCTCTCCATTTTCCAAACTTCAACTTTTCCAACTTTCACCGAAATGCCTCAAATTATCCTACGGGCCTCCAAAATCAAATCCGAACACACGCCCAAGTCCAAAATGACCATACGAAGCTATTGACATCATCCAAAACTCATTCCGGATCCGTTTACTTAAAAGTCAAATTCCGGTCAAATTCTCTCCACTTAAGCTTCCAGAACTATATTCCTTCTTTCTAATTCGACTTCGATTCATCCGGAAACTGAATTCAACCCTACACACAAGTCGATATACATAATGTGAAGCTGCTCTTGACTTCAAACTGTCGAACCGGATGCAATTGTTCAAAACGACCAGTCGGGTCGTTACAACTATACATTGGTATACCAAATTAGCATAGTATATCAAATTTTAGGATTCACCTATTTAACTAGAAAGAATAAAAAAAGGTAAAAAGGAATGACAAATTTATTATTTATAAAAGCCTTAATTTCTATAAAAATTTGAAGAAAAAAAAGGCATCTACACATATCAAATTAAAAAAATCAAAAAGATTGACACTAACTATTTAACTATAATCGATTAATGATTGTATCGAAAGTAATTTTTTACAATATTAATTTTAGGACTAGGTTATTTATCTAGAAAGAAAAAAACAAAAATAAAAGTGAAATAAAGTGATAAAAAATTTAACGGATAAATTTTACTAAAAAAACTAAGATAAAAAATATAATAATTATAAGGGAAAAAAGTGACATGTTTTGAGCGAACATATTTTACTTTAAAAAATAGGATCTAAAATTTCTTAGAAAGCTGCAAATAAAAAATTTAAGTACAAATATTAAATAAGAAATTAAAAAAATCAAAAAGAGTAACATGGTAACTTTCGATAATCATAATCAATTATTGATTTTGTAGAAAGTATCCCAATACAAATTTTAAGACTCGGTTATTTATTTAAAAAAATAAATAAAAACAAAAGTGAAAGAAATTGATAATAATTTTTGCGGAAGAAGTTTACTGAAAAAGACAGAAAACATTAAGATGAAAACTAATAATGAAAAAGAAAAAAAAAAGTGACAAAATATTTTGGACGGAGAGATTTTAGTGGAAAGAATAAAATTAAAAATAAAGTAAAATAAAAACACCAACAAAATAAAAATTCAAGTTAAAAAATGAAGTATAAAAGAGTAAGGAGTTACTGCTAGAAAGAATTTTTTTTAAACAAAAAAAAAGTAAAAAGAGAATAACTACAAAAAATTAAGAAAAAATGATAAGGAAAAAAATAAAATGAAAAGAATAACAACAAAATACGGGGAAAAAATAACAAAGACAAACAAAAGAAACGTGCAAAACAAAAACAAAAAACAAAAAAAAAAAGGACCTTTGGTGAAGCCTAGGCATAGAAAGGAGGGGGCAGCCTGGTCTTATAATCCTCAAAAGGGACATATTTTGTCTTTTTTCATAAAAGGAAGCATTTTGATCATTAAGTTTTTAAAAGGGGCTCTAAATGTCATTTTCTCTATTAACATTCATTAGTAGGAAATAAAATTATTGTCGCTAGTTGGAGCTTAAACTCAAATTAAATCACTGGGTGGAGAAGCAAAGGAGGAGGGGCTTAGCTACTTGGTAATAAGAATGATACAACTGAAATTTAAAAGGACATTTAGGCCAAAGCAGGTCATTATTTTGATAGACCTAAATCTGTTACTTAATTGCTTATGTGCTGCCCCTTTTGGTAGTTCTCTAAAGACGGATAAAGGGCAGCCCGGTACACTAAACTACCGCTATGCGCGGGGTTCGGGAAAGAGCTGGACCACAAGGGTCTATCGTACGCAGCCTTACCCTGCATGGTCAAGAGAGGGAAATGGTGAATGGCCAAGAGAATCGACTTCAATGTAACTAAAGAGATCCATAGGATTCCTTCGCCCAAACCAAAACTACTAGAGCTGAAACGGTTAAGATAGCAAATGGAAATGGAAATTTATCTCATCTCCAGTCTTTGACTTCATAAGAGTGATATTTTAAATTGAAGTGGCTAGAAAAGATAGCACTAACACCTTCACAAGAGTACATTGTACTAACACATTGATGAGAATACATAGCAGTAATTCCGGCTTTAGATACAACATTTCCCGCACAAAATGTGGGGACGAGTGATTTTTGCATACTGAACAAAGCGCTCGAAAACCCCTAAACCCCCAGGAAAACCTCCTTGTCTCCAGGCCCGAACCAAAAATGAAGAACGATGCAAAAAAATTTAAGAGACATGTTTGTTGGAGGGGGGTACAAGAGTCTAGGGCAAGACAAGTTGAGAAATTAACAAAGGTAAACTTGCCAAGTACAACAGCATAAGTTAGCTGCAGAAATGGCTGAATTTCTTTCTCAGGGACTCTTGGATGCCACTTGCGTTCCTCCCATTGGCCTTTAGACATGACACTGCACATTGAAATCTAATGAGTTACTCCAAATGGTGATAAAAGTAGGATACTAGTGGGAAAGTAGGAAACAAGATAACGTGAAATATAAATCAGGAGGAGGAGAGTACCAAGCTGTAAAGGCACATGTTTTAAAAAAGCAGCATATAGAGACAAACGCTACGTATAAGCCCAGAAGGAGAAATTGCCAAGCATTGAAGAAGTTGGCAAAAATTGCAGTAAAGAGAGGACAATCTACAATATCGGATGAATGGTGCCAGTTCAATCATAACACCTAGGCGGTTTTAACACTGAATGTTCAAGAGTGTAACATATATACTATACCTCTGAAAAAGCATGCTGTGTTCCTCATTCTATGTGAAACTTTTTGCTGAATGATGGAAGTGACTTCCCAGAAGATTGTCTAAGCTCACAGCCAAACTCAACTTCCAACAACCGATGGTTTTCTTTAGAGCGATACATTGAGAAATTAATTGTCATTTCATCCCCTTGGCTAACACGTATGGATGGATGTAACAAGAACACCTGTCAATACAAAGGTCAGGCACACGAAAACCAGGAAAACAATTAGAGAGAATTTTGGAAGCAATAAAGTAAAATATGGCTTTAGACAAGCTCCGAGAACTCGGCCAAGTTAATACAAATATTTAGGTAGATTAACTTACAGAGGGGAATGGATACACAGTATTCATATATCCAACCCAACCTAATTGCTGGGTGTGAGGCATACTCATGTATGTACGCAACTAGTGTCCGATACATCCGATGAAAATTTTTGAGATGCATATCAATAAATTGCTGACTTCATCATTCTTAAGTTACAAACGGGATAGACAATTTAACTTCAAACAAAAGATGAAGCAATGGCTGCCAACTTCATCACATAGAAAAGCAAGAATATGGATGGGAATCACTGTACCAGCCATTATTTATATGCATTGAAGAGCGATCATAATCATCAAACATGAGAAAACAGCATTTCCTTATTCATTACATACAGCAACATTATACAAATGAAGTAGCCTAGTAATGTTTCAGTGGAGAAAAAGACTTCTACTTATTGGTTTAAGATCATATGCTACTGAATATCCATTCAACTAAACCATTCAAATTGCAGAGAGATATCATACAGTAGGGTACACATACCTGCTGCCCCCAGTGTGTTCCGAGGTCTTCACTAGGAGCTGTCGTCAACTCAATCTCATGTTTAGCTGGGCTTTCCTTACGTCCCTGAGGTAACAAACCCAAGTGAGATTAAAATAATACTAATTTGTACTCACTATAACACAGAAAGACACAGTAAGGACAACTTACTCGAAAATGGACATCAAACCATCCTCCAAACCCACAGAATCGTGAGTTTTCTGCAGTAATGGATGATGAGATGTTTGCCTGAAGACTGAGTATGTCATTCACACTTGATGTTAAACAATCAATTTCCATTATGACAGCAGGTTTTCCAATTACTTGATTAGGATGAAGGTTGTTCCACAATGATGTCTACACAAAACATTGGTATGGTCTTTGAGAAGTTCAAGGAGCTAAGAAAACGAGAAATCCATCAATGGAAAAAGACGGAGAGGTGAAATAATGTAATAACTTCTCATGATACATTAAAAACTAGCAAGAAGGATATTAAGCCAATCAAATTTTTGACAAAAATTGTTGACTTCTTCCATGTCAGTGACCAATCCGTAGAGATAAACCACCATTTTTAGCTTGGCATTCACATTGAAGAAGATGTATCTCGAGTCATCTCCATTCGCCTCAATCTGTTCAAGGTCCCTAATGAATTCCCATGTTTGATTATACTCATCCAATACACTTCCCCACAACATAACAAAGAAGGTGTGTATTTGAATTTCAATAAGAAGCTACATTAAAAAAGGTGTAGCCTAGTGGTCACTAAAGTGGGTGGAGAACCACGAAGTCTCAGGTTCAAACCCTAGCGGAGACAAAAAATACTAGGGTATTTCTTCTCATCTATCCAAGACTTGGTGGATCGAGTTACCTAGTACCTGTTTGCTATAGGGAGGTGGCAGGTATCCCGTAGAATTAGTCGAGGTGCGCCCAAGCTCACCCGAACAACACGGTTATTTAAAAAAAAAGGAAAGTTGAGTATGGAAAAGATAATCAACAGAAACTAATGTACCAATTATTCTTCTCTTTTAAGGTTTCTAGTTATTACTGCACAGCTTCACCTGTAAAAGCAGTCAAACAAACCTCAAGAATGTAGAAAACATATGCATGCCTAAACTGATAAACACAATAAAACAAGTAGGCTGGCACAACAGTAGCTTATATATTGATGAACTGGATGTTTTTCCAATGAAAGGTAAAACAAGCTGAGTTTAGTTTTATTTCAGAAGTAAAGCAAACACCACAAGAAAGATGCTATATAAACCATAATTGGTATATGGTATAATCGACCTAACAGTTTCTATTTTTCGAAAGGAAATAACACCAACCTCTAGATAGTATTTTCTCTGTTCCTCTGTAAAAGGCTTAGACAGACTGCTCATATCCACACCATAAAAAGTTTGAGTCTCATCGACAAAATGGTACCAATCATCCATGGCTCTATCATAATCAATCTTCTTTTGATCCACTAATCCAGAGTGGATAGGTGCAACCCATATTCGAGCATGGCTTGGGTACCTGGAAAAGCAAAGCTTCTTAAAACAAAGGACCGACATGCAGAAAGAATTCATGCTTAGATATAAACTATTAAAACAGCAGCAACGCACATTCTGGCATGGCTTGTATTACCTGAAAAGCAAAGCTTCTTGAAGCAAAGAACCCACATGCAGAAAGAACTCATGCTTAATATAACCTACTAAAACAGCAGCAGCAGATATAACAATTTAAAAATTCTAAAAAGAAAAAAATGTCATTTTGTGAATTACTCTACAAGCATTTTTTTAAGGGAAAAGGGTTAAATTTACCCCTCTACTATGTGAAAAGGAACAATTTTGCCCTCCATTATTTGTTACCATTCTCAACAAAAAAAAAATTGTCCTCCATTATACTTTTGGTCCAAAAATACCCTGACATTACCCAAGTGGTTTAAATATACCTCCTCCATTAGGGCTGTCCAAGATGGACACTCAATCCCACATGACACTGACATTTTTTTGTGAGGTGGACACCACGTGGCATGCTGCCCCACGGCCCCAACTCATTTTGCCAACTCTCCTCCACTTCTTATTCCACCAGCACCTCCTCCCCCTTCACTACCACTGCCACCATGACCACCATCATTTTCACAAGCTTGTGTTGCTATGTTGTATTGAGCCTTCTTTAGTTACTTTTCTATTGCTAATGGTAATCTGGATTAGCATCTGCAGTTTCTCATATCTTCTTACTTCATATTTATGCAGTCATCATTAGTTCCTCAGCGAGTTGATAACTGCTTGTTTCTCAAGATAATTCTAATGTTCAGTATTGCTTGGAAAATACTCAATCAAAAATCGTAGGATGATGATAAATGCATAATTCCACTTTGATCCTTTTTGAGTTATTTAAATGCATCCTCGGTAGTATTGTGAGTATTGTGCTATAATCTCTTCTCAAGTTAATCCTTTTTTATGATGATAATCTAAAACGATATCAATAAATCTTGAGAGTACTAGAAAAGGCATATAGTAATCCCATTTAACCCATCCAAGTGTAAAATGAGCTTGTGAGCAAAATTCACCCATTAAAATTGATTTAAGGTATTGATATTTTTCCTTGATCTGTTCCAGAATTTCCAATTTTATCTCCAAAATTTAGTGACATGCAAATACAATAACGTACTATCTTAAACCAAAACGGGCTTGAATTGTACTTCGAGAAAAATAACGCCCAATTCAGTGGCAATCTTGATAAGTTGTGGTATTCATACGCTAATGGCTATAACATTTGCACTTAATTTCATATCATCATTTTAAAATATTAAAATAAATTAGCAGATACCGCAGCAATTAGAACAGGATTCTCAGCTTGATAAATACTCATTAGTAATTAAGTAAACATCATTAAAATATGATACTTCACACCGATTTTCAGTGATGAGGCAACAAATAAAATAGAGAGATAGCAGACAAGATTAAATACAATAAGCAAACACAAGCCGGTGAAAATAGCCATGGTCATGGTGGTGTTGATGATGGCAATGATAGTTGTGGAGGAGGGGGGGTGTTGGTGGAAAAAGTGGAGAGGAGGGGGTAATATGGGTTGGGATAGTGAGGCGGCATGTCACGTGATTTTACTAAAAATGTCAGTGCCATGTGGGATTAGGTGTCTAACTTGGACAGCCCTAACGGAGGAGGGGTATATTTGAGTTAATTGGGTAACATCGAGGGTAAATTTGGCCCGAACGTAATAGAGGGCAAAATGTTCCTTTTCACAAAATAGGAGGCCAAATTTGACCCTTTTTCCTTTTTTTAATAAATGATTACGGTATTCATACGTCTGAAAAGGAAGAGGTGGGGTATGACAATGAAACTAAAGTAAGTTTGAAAAGTTTTTAAATTGGAAATCTCATTTTTCTCTAACAGGAGAAGTGTACCAGACTATCTATAAATCTCATTTTTCTCTACCACTAAGGTGCCTTTTGGTTGTGGTTTTAGGACTGTTAATCCATTTATAAAAACCAACATAATTTAATACATCGTTTGGTTAGTGTTTCAATGTGTATTAGTTTTCGTATAGAATTCAGCATATAAAACACCGTGTTTGGTTAGTCTTTTGCTATTCTTCATACATAATACCCATATATGATAATGAGGGAATCTATGTATAATTTATGCGGGATAGAAAGTGGAATAAGAATACATATATTAAATAATACTTGGATTAAAAATATAAAGTGGCAAAAATAGCCTCTATCATTATAGAATTAAAAATCTTCCCTTTCTTAAGATCTTACTTGGAGAAATCCTTTACTCTTTTGTTGGTTCATGCTACATAAATGTCAATGTCCCGCTATGTGGGTAGATCAATTTTATTGTTGCATGCAAAATTTGAGTGCTTTTAGCATGGATCTTCTGTATCCATGTAAGAAGAAGCTTATATAATATTTTATCAGTCTAATATTTAGTCAAGTTAGCTAAAGCTGAAAATATAACTAAGTCTGAATAGTGCAAAACCTTATTAGGAATATTTTAATTCGACTAAGAACAATTTTATTTTGTTGAATAACTAAACCATATATTTAAATTTAACATTGTATTCTAATTTCTAACAGAAAAATCAAATCTTCAACGAGAATTAATCCTTGCATTATAATTCCTATATAACTAATTCTTGCATTGCAATCTTGCATAATATAATCCATGCATTACAATCCCTGCATAGCTTGTCTCTAAACCAAACGACCCCTAAAGGTTGCTAAATAGGGAGCGCACCCTCCTTCAATCATTCTACTCTAATTTCCTTCATTCTAGTGCTCTCATATGCAATGTCCCAATAAGGTTCTAAGCTTATTCATAATGCCAAAACATGATCATATCTCATGCAATCATTCAAACGGTTATAGTAATTGATGGTTCATCTTCCATTAAAGACTACTAACTTTCTTCATTATAATATACTCTGTTGCAGTTTATGAAGTACAATTTGATGGTACTTGAAAGAGGAGTCAGTCTAACTTATGTATACACCCCTCTATTTCATTTTATGACATCATCACTATTTGGGAAGCCAAACTATGTTCATTGATTGCAATTTTATAATTAATATTTTAATAATATAAAATTGTGACGTACTACTCTTTATAACGTTTCTAAATATGTAATTTTATTTTGAAAAATTTTAAAAAATTGTTGCACAAGTTGAGATTGAAGCTTAGGGGTTGTTTGGTAGGGTGTATAAAAATAGTGCGAAATAAGGTGTATTAGTAATGCATGTGTTAGTAATGCAAGCATTAGTTATGCAGAAATTATTTCTTATTTACTGTTTGGTGTGGTGTATTAAAATTATAATGCATTGCATAATTTTTAAGAAAAATAGTTGTTTACAAAAATGCCCTCCGTATTCTCTAGCTTTAAGGGACTTTAAGGACAATTTTGTCTTTAACCATACTAATGCATGCATTAATAGCCTTGGTATTATTAATGCCATGGTTTTCTATGCATTACTTATACATAGGATAATACCAAGTATGATGTATAACTAATACAAGTTATACACAGGTTGAAAAAAATATACCAAACAAGGTATTAGTAATGCATACAGCTAATGCTTGCATTATTTTTTCTAATAACTCCTACCAAACGACCCTTTAGATGAATTGATGCTTGGACTCCAAACCTTTTCATTTTTTTTAAGCGGTTGTTTTTCTTTTTCTTTTTTTGATGACCAGGAAATCCCGAGACTAGTAGCTCATAGTCCGAAACTCAGTTTGTAATGGGCCAACTACTCTACCTTTCTCCCCTTTAATACTAGGCTTTTTATGCGGCTGAGTTTGAAATCGTGACATGTGTCTCACAAACAGATTACGCGTTGCGTTCCTACCATTAGACCCAACCCCCAGGGGGTTTTCGATGGCTCCGTTAGGGTTAAATAAAATTTGATGGTTGAAGGTTTTTGTATGAAGTTAATTTGATGGAAAAAACATCGGAGTTTAGTATACATTTTAATTAAGTATTAGATAATTTAAAATATGAAGAATCATGAAGAGATATTATCTACTCTAATTTCATGAAAAAATCTAAGAATGTCAAAATTAATATAGGTAAAAAAGGAATACCACATAAGAAAATGAAAAAAGGTATTCACTAGCACTCAGGGGATACTCAAAGATATCACCTCACCGCACTGACGTGTCACATTCAAGGGGAGGTGTCATGGTGTATGTTATTTGCATATACCATAGTTCTGATTGACGAGACGCGAGGTAGTGTTAATGAAAGGCTGGAGGTTTGGCGTCAGGCCCTTGAGTTTAAAGGTTTCAGATTGAGCATGACCAAGACAGAATACTTGGAGAGTAAGTTCAGCAATGTAACCCAAGTAGCGGACATGGATGTGAGGCTGGAAGGTCAGGTCATCCCCAAGAGAGATAGTTTCAAGTACCTTGAGTCTATAATACAGGGAAATTGGGAGATTGATGAGGATGTCACATATCGTATTGGAGTAGGGTGGATGAAATGGAGGCTTGCTTCCGGAGTCTTGTGTGATAAGAATGTGCCACAAAAACTTAATGGTATGTTCTACAAAGTGGTGGATAGACGAACATTATTGTATGGGGCGGAATGTTGACCAGTCAAGAACTCTCATGTTCAGAAGATGAAAGTAGCTGAAAGGAAGATGTTGAGATAGATATGCGGGCATACCAAGTAAGATAAGATGATTAATGAAGTTATTCGGGAAAAGGTAGGAGTAGCCCTAGTGGAGGATAAGATGTGGGAGGCGAGGTTGAGATAGTTTGGGCACGTTAACAGTAGAAGCACAGATGACCCAGTTAGGAGGTGTGAGAGGTTGACCTTGGTGGGTATGAGGAGGGGCAGGCCAAAGAAGTATTGGGGAAAGGTGATTAGGCAGAACATGGCACAGCTGAAGCTTACCGAGGACATGACCTTTGATAATTAGGGTGTGCAGTTAGTAGGCACCCGCGCTTGTCTGTTTTCTTTCCCAGATCGGTACCAGTGGTTTAGCATGGTATCTCTTTATTTTTGGACTGATGGTACTATTCATTGTCCGATTGCATTCTTTCGCTTTAGTTTTCTTAATACCTTGTTGCTATTACCACCTGTTGCCACTAATTCTTTTCATCTAGTCTTTAGCTGAGGGTCTAGCGGAACCAACATCTACGCCTCCCAGGATAGGGGTAAGGTCTGCATACACATTACTCTCCCCAAACCCCACTTGTGGAAACTCACTAGATTTGTCGTACAATCAAACAAAACTTTTATTTCATGTGAACTTTTCATTACTCAAAATTATGGATAGCAGCAGGTAAATTTAAGGTGGGATTGGCATATGGACCCCCACCCCCAAATTCTAGCTTGCCCTAACCACATTGGTGTATAGTTGATCATGTCCATGTTAATATGGTCTTTAAATCAAATCAAATCAAATGCTAAGTATATATCATAAAAAAGTGATATATTCTAATACAATATCATATAAAAATGGGATGTACAATAAGTACCCAAGGGTGTGGCTTAGTGGTCAATCAAGTGGGGGGAGAAACATGAGGTCTCAGGTTCGAATCCCAGCGGAAGCAAAAAATACGAAGTAATTTCTTCCAATCTGCCTAATTATTGGTGGAAAAAGTTAACCGATACCTGTGCTAGTGGGAGATATAGGCATCTGGTGCAATTAGTTGAGATATGCTCAAGATGACCCGGATATCATTGTCAACAGAAAAGGAAAAAACAAAGTGGGATGTAAAGTATCCACATAAACACGTCAAGAAAAATAATTATTCTAGAAGATAGGGAAGTAAATGTGAAGGAAGGATGTCGAAGTCCAGAATCGTAGTTTTGATGAAATGAATCACTAATTTAATCTTGGAAAAGCTATTAATATCACAACACTTGGGTAAGCATGTAAATATGAAAGTTTGAACAAAATATACATATATACAATCAAACCTCTCTATAACAGCCTCATTTGTTCCGATAGTTTTTGACTACACTGGCGAAGTACTATTATAAAGAAAATATATTATAACATAACATGAAAAATTAGTTCCAAGGAAAACTTGACCGTTATAGTGAAGTGTTATTATAGAGGATGGTTGTTTTAAAGAGGTCTGACCGTAGTTTATCTACATAATAGGATGGGACTGGTAAATGTACCCTGAACCCACTACAGTATCTCTGAAAAGCTGGACAGATGAGCCAACCAGATAAGAAGTGCATACACACTCAAAGTATACCAAAGTATCAGTACATTTAAAACTGGTGAGATACAGAAGTTATTAGACAAGCAAAAACTATGAAAAGCTAACGTTTGAGAGATGAAAGTAAAACATATATTGGTAATACAGGCAATAAATCACTACACTATCTCTGAAAAGCTGGTCAGATGAGCCAACCAGATAAGAAGTGCATACACACTCAAAGTATACCAAAGTATCAGTACATTTAAAACTGGTGAGATACAGAAGTTATTAGACAAGCAAAAACTATGAAAAGCTAAAGTTTGAGAGATGAAAGTAAAACATATATTGGTAATACAGGCAATAAATCAATCTTACATGACTCCATTTGGGTTCAGCCAGCGGTCACGAGCACAGATAACTGAGTCAAACATTGATTCACGTAGAAGGAAGTATCCCATCCACTCTGAAATGATTACATCAACTGCACACCACCAATTTACTCGATCAGAATCAGAGACGGTGGTTATTAAGAGATGATGAAGGTTTATTCATATTTCATTAGATGGTCAGAGGTGAAGTGAAAGCTAAGCAATAGAGTCGAGACCTATATATATTGCAAGGATAAAAGAAAATAAAAGACTAACCCTTCTCGGGCAGAGTAATATCTTCCATTGACCCCTCAATCACTTCAACAACATGCTCAAGTCCATTTGTTTTAACAAGTTGACGTGCATGTTCTGCCATCTTGGTGGCTTCGACTGCATAGACCTTCCTTGCACCTGCTTGTGCTGACCATATTGCCAATATGCCGCTCCCTGTCCCTACATCCAGAACAGCCTACACAAATTTGCATCTAAATTAATCCCAATATACAACTGAACATCTTAGTGAAGATATTAGTAGCAGCAATCCAGCCAGAGCAACCATTCAATTAAGAGTTCAAGAAGAGCAATTTATGTGAAGCTTATAATTTTAAGTGTTTGTCTGATCAGAAGTACAGCTTTTCTGTCTGAGTACTCGATCAACTTAGTACCTCATCCATGGCTCAAGATGGCCGTGCATATAAAAGAAAAAGCAATCAGTGACTTTCTTAAGTTGCATAGGCAAGCCATTGGATAGACAATTGCGGACATCCGTGGGATTCCCACAGGAATTTGTAAACACAATATCCAACTAGAGAGCCAGACAAAACCAAGTGTGGAACATCAACGACGGTTGAACCCATCAATGCAAGAGGTGGTAAAGAAGGAGATCATCATGTGGTTGGATGCCGGGGTAGTCTACTC